CCTACAGAGCCACCTTTTCATTTTGTTGGGGTAAAATATAACAAAGCACTGAGCATCTTAAACATGTGTAAGTGCACAAATCAGGTATTAATGACATCCAGCATACTATGCTCTAATCACTATTCTCCATTTCCAAGGTTTTCTCTGGGCACAACTATTCCAGTATCAAGTCACTGCCAGCTCTTTGGATGGCAAGTAACAGAAACTCAGCCCACTCGCCCAAGACAACACATTTTTATGGAATCAGGCTGCCTTGTCTTTCTCCCATACGGGCTGGTCGATTTGCCCAGCCAGCTTTCTGTTACCAGCTGAGTGCTTTAACCACGGCATCACCAGGGCCTTTAGAATTCCATCCAGACCCCCTTACAGTAAAAATCACAGGCTCGAATCCTAGGAGATTCAGATTCACAGGAATGAGTTTAAAGACTGATGCAAGCCATGGTGTTTTCAGTGAGTAAGAATGACTGATGAATTGATGCCTTTGAATTGGTGATGGAAAAGAGTACTGGCTCCTCTAGGCTGCAGAGTAAATGCATCCGTCCTGGAGGACGCGGAGCCAGAGCGCTCCCTAGAGGCAAGGACGGTAACAGTTCTCCCCACATACTTTGGCCATGTTCTCAGGAGCGGCCAATCCCTGGAGAAGAATGTCATATTGGAAAAGGTGGAGGATCAGAGGGAGAGAGAAGGACCCTTAAAGGGATGGACTGATACAGTGACTGTGTTCATAGAATCACTGAATCATGCTCAACTCGATGGCAATCATCAACAACAACAAATGTTTTTCTAGTTGTTGTGTACCGTCGAGTTGGACCTGACCCATAGCTGAAGCTCCAGCAAGTTTTCAGAGGCAGTTAATCACATGGGAGGAGATTGCCCACCCTTTTCCCACAAAGCAGCTGGTGGGTTCGAACTGTGTACCTTCAGGGATGCAGTGCAGCTTCTTACCACTAGGCCACCAGAGCTCTCTATTAATGATTAATGTCAATCAGTAAACATTATTAACATTAATTAGTACTAGATTATACTTGGTTAGTCACACCGAGTGTTTGAAATATGCTGTCTGTGAACCACTGTAGCCAAGGAGAAGATCAAGAAGAGAGAAAGGGTAAGGGCTCCACCACCAGCTGAAGGGTCAGCAGTTTGAATTCACTAGTTGCCCTGAGGTAGAAATATGAGGCAGTCTGTGTTCGTGAATATTTACAGCCTTGGAAACTCTATGGAGCAGTTCTGCTCTGTCCTTCAGCGTCACTGTGAGTTGAGATCCACTCAGTGACAATAGATTTTGAACACTTGGTGTTAGATCAGGCTCAATCTCACCTCTACCATCTGTCAATTGACCTCTAGCTATAGTCCTTGGACCCTCAGTCTTCTCATCCTTTAAATGGGGCCACTACACTCAATTCACTCCAGATTTGCACTTAACTCAATACCTGATCCCATTCATTAAGCAAATAGGAGTGTCCAAAAGGTTTGCAGAGAGAATCGGCGTGAGTTGGACACTACTAGTCCAGTACTTTGTCGTTTCCACAGTCCTCATGTAGGTGTTACTAGACCCGTGATGAAGGAACTGAGACTGAGGGAACACAAATGCCCAAGGTCGCCACACTGTCACCCAGTGTAGACTTGGGATGGGCTGTCATTGTTACTGCCGTACTGTCATAGCTTAGCTACAAGGGCAGTCACCCTTCACCGCAGTCAGTTCTCCGGGCACACGATTTGAACACCACCTCCTGATTCAGAGCCACACCATCCAGTGAATGAGCTGGAACCTTCTGTCGGCTTACAGGACACTCTGGTCTGGATTCAGATTTGAAGTCCTAACCGCCGATCGAAGCTCTGCTGGTACCATGTATTAAACGTTAGGCTAAAAACAGAAGGGTCAGTGGTTCGAACCCACCAGCTACTCCAATAGAGAAAGGTGAAGCCATCTGTTTGCATAAAGATTAACAATGTTTAGAGCTGGAGCAGTTATTCTGGACTGTAGGGTCGCTGTGAGTTGGATTGATTTGAAGACAGTGGGGCTAGGGAGCTTCAGCCCTGGTACCTGTGAACATGATCTTGTTTAGAAATGGGATCTTTGAAGAAGCTATTCGTTGATACCAAGGTGATTTCATCTCGTGAAAAGCCCATGTGTTACAGACTAAGCTACCTTGAAGGGTTTTCTTGAATGCGTAGTCTTTATGGACGCAGACTGCCAAGCTGCCCCCCCACCCCCCAATACTCTCTATAGAAGCAGACTGCCAAGCCTTTTTTCCCCCTGGCACCTTTGGATAGGTTCAAACCACCAACCTTTAGGTTATGGTTCTTGTTGGTGGTGATGATGGTGGTAGTGGTGGTATTGACTCTGACTCCTAGCAAGACTGTAAACAACAAATCGAAACTTGTCCCATCCTCCACCATCCTAATGAACCTCCACCGTGCTGGCCCACTGTGCGAGTCAGCGATGGTGGAACTTCCTCTCACATGCTTCTGGTATGTTGTCAGGAAGGGCCTGTCCTTGGAAGGAGACTTTCTGGTGGGGAAAGGAGAGGGTCAAAGAGAGGAAGAGCCTCAACAAGATGGACTGACACTGACTCCCTCTCTCACCCTGGTTTCACCTCCTCCAGGACAGACTCGCTCGCGCTCTTGGCGTCTGTGGCATGTCCACTCCTCTTCACCAACCCCACAGTTCAGAGGCACATTTCTTCTTCAATCTGCTTTATTCACCGTCCGCCTCTCACATGCAGGGGAAGCAATTGAAGATCCCATGACTCGGTTAGGCAGGTAGCTGACTGCAAACCATTGACGCCAGCTGGGGACCTGACTCAGCTCTGCCAGGCTGGAGTACAAACCCTCAGCCCTCCTGGGGTCTCTGTGGTGCCTTATCTCTCCCCTGCGCCTGCTTTGAAGGATTTGACATCAAAGTTCCAGCCACAGTTCTGGCAGGAGTAATCCCATTGCCTGTGACCTTGTTCTCTGCGTGTCCTTCACAGAGAAGGGCTTCGGCATAAACTCTGCCTCCAGCCCAATCACGGAATTCTCCTTTTCCCTAAGCTTCTGCCATCCCTCAGGACAGAAAAGTATAGGGCTGCTTCCAGAACCATCTTCTGCCTCAGACTCTCCCGGAATAAATGATCCAGTCCTAGGAAAGTGAGAGGACACGGTTGCTGCTGCATCCTGATGACATTTTCTGGCTTTGTCCTTCCCCCTGAAAGGCCAGCTCCCTTTCTCTCCCGAGGGCAGGCATTCTTCTAAATGTATTCACTAGAGGGAGGAGACAGATCAATCTCCTCAGCCAGGATTCACTCTTACCCGCGGGAAGGACTTGTATCACTCAGAGACCCACACGCAATTGGCATATAGAAAACCAAACCAAAATGACCTTTCATCATCAAAGGCAGGCAGGAGCCCAGAGGCACCTGAAGAAGTCAGGATAACAAGAAGAGGCCTGCAGGATGGTGGCCACCATGACTAAGAAGTGTCAGGGGCAGGGTGACTCTCCTTGGAGGGTGCCTTCTGGGTTACGGGACTTCAAGAAGCCCAGGGAAGGAAGGCTCTGTTGGCCTTGGGAACATCACCAGCTTCTTCCTCCTCTTAGATATTTTTAGGGCCTTGGGTGAAACACTTAAGGTGGTGTACTGCATTCATCAGAGAGCTGGACAGTGACTGGGGATGATAGAAGGAGAGCTGATGCCTTTGAGCTGTGGTGCTGGAGAAGAGTATTGAGTATGCCATGGACTGCGAGGAAAACAAATAGGTTCGTCCTGCAGAGGTGAAGGCAGGCTGCTCCTTGGAGGCAAGGATTCCAAAGTTTTGTCTGACATACTTTGGACAAGATGCAAAGAGGGAGCAGCCCTTAGAGAGGGACATCATTCTTAGGAGGGTGGAGGGACAGCGCGGGAGAGGAAGACCCTCGATGAGGTGGTTTGATTCCATCACTGGGGTAATGGGGATGTTCGTGTTGGAGACAATAAGATTGACAAGGGATAGAGCAGGGTTTAGGGCTGCTGTACATAGGGTCGCTATGAGTTGCAAGTGACTCGACGGCACATAACAACAGCAACAACAACTGTAGTACATGTTGTGCTGCTAACAGAAAGGTTGGAGGATTGAATCCACCAGCAGCTCCCCAGGAGAAAGATGAGCCTTCTACTCCTGTAAAGATTTATATCTTCAGAAGTCCACCAGAGAGGTGACCACCTATAGGCTTGTCTGTAGTTTGGCTGAAAAGTCAGCCGTTAACTGGGAATTATTCTGGGCTTGAAGGGTGACTGAGAGCCATAGTCTTTGGGGTTCCATAGTCTCTCTCCGAATGATAAACCTGTCCTTTTTTTGTGATTTTGAGTTTCATTCCACACCCCTCCACTCTCAGGAACTTCCTGTTGTAACTCTGCCCAGCGGGCAGTGGTGGCAACCGGGCACCATCTAGCTCCTCTGGGCTTGGAGTCCTGGAGCCTGAAGCTCACGTCCAGGGGTCCCTTGCTTCTCTTCACTCTTCACTGCTCCCAGCAAGCAGAGACCAGTGGATGGCCTCCACGGGTGACCACTGCTGACAAGGTTTTCTGGCCCCAGCTGTTTGTCACATAAGTAGGATGCAGGGCGTTTCCTTTGTGGATTCTGTTAGATGGTTGACTCCACTCTCCTGAGTCCCAGTTTCATAAGAGTGTGACTCGCTGACACATTGCATCAGTGGTCCAGATACAAGCCCATGGGCTGATCTGAGCAGTCTTCATATCCTTGGCTGTCCCTCTGGGATTTTTTAGGGGGCATTTCATGCATGTCTCATGGTTTAGTGGTAGAGTCTTGCCTTCTGTGCTGAAGACCAGGGTTCAAGGCCCAGTCACCACTCATCAGTAGAGGTTTGCATATTGCAGTGAGGTGCAGTGGAACGTCCAGACTGAAAATAACTAGAAAGAAAGGCCTTGTTGTCTACATCCAGGAAAGGGGTGTCAGTCTCTCATGCATGCAGCATCAGGTCTCACAGCCGCCTTCTCTCTTGTGTCTCCTCCCTGTCCCCCCAGTGCACTCCCAGAAACAGAACCGGCAGACCTGCGTCCGGAAGAGCCTCATCTGCGCCTTCGCCATGGCCTTTATCATCAGCGTCATGCTGATCGCAGCCAACCAGATCCTGCGGAGCGGCATGGAGTAGCTGCCGCACTGTCCCTGCTCACCGCGCATGTGCATGGCGTGTCCCTCCACCCGGCGGACCCGACGGCGCGGGCGGTGCTGAGCGTCCAGTGCGACTGGCCTCTTGCAAATCCACTCCATCTCCTTGGCAGGGACACCAAAGGGCTGTCTTCAATGCTTTAACGGTTTTGTTTCCTAATGCAATAAATACCCAGGAATTCCGCAGTGCTGCTTCGAACCACTGGCGGGACTTCCAGGAGGAACTCCATGGTCAACGCGGAATTCCATGGCGACAGGGCTGGAGGTGGACCAGAGCAGGAGAGAGGTGTAGACTCTGGTCACCTCCACGCCCCAGGCCCAGCCCCCTGAGGCTGACCTCTGGGTCCCTTCAGAGGGCGGAGCCCCCCATCTGGCCCCTGGCTTCCTCCCCCACCCAATGCAGACACTTCCCCCACACCCAGGCCCGAAGGGAAAGCCACTGCGTGGGGTGCACAGGCCTGCTTCCATTGTGCTGCCTTTCCTCCAGGCCCCTTGACGGCTGAGTTGGGGAGCTCTCTGTTTCCATCAGCATTCGGCTTTGTGTCCCCAGAGCCCACCGTGCACCAGCATCTTGGAACCTGCAGAGAGCCTGCCTCCCAGCTTTGGGCCTGCGCTACCAGAGACCCAGGCCTCTGGGTAGAGGAGACCAGACATTGAGCATATCCGCTTCCTTCACTCCCATCGCCATGCTTCCTCTCTGTGAGCTCGCCCTCCAGCCCTCATGCCCTGCTTCCTTAGGGGATGGGGAGGGAGCAGGCGGGTGAGGCAGGTGGGGAGGATGTGTTTGAATCCTTGAACAGAGCATGAACTCATCTCCCTGCCCGCTGAGCCTGGACAGCCGAGGTCCTGCGTAGCTGACCTTTACCCACCTTCTAAGCTGGTTCTGTTGGCCTTTCCCCAGCTGAGAAGAGAAGTGCTCACCGAAGTGGACAGGTGAAGTGAGTGACTGCACCTGTCACATCTCTGCCATGTACATTCTGCATCTGACTCATTTCCACAGGAAGGAAAAACAAACAATAAAACACCCCAAAACTTTGAAGGTGTGTAACCAACAAGACCTACCTGGGAGACACCTCCATTAGAGAAGAAAACGAACCCTGTCCATTCGCAGCATCATTTTCTTATATAACCTCCCAGTCCCAGCTCTTCCCAGATATATGCCAGCCACCACCATTGGCCACCGCTGTCCATCCAGCTTTTGTAGTCCCAGAGTAACCAGCCAGCAGTCTCCAGATGGAATATCTCCTTTGTGCGGTGTTAAGCTCAGGTCTTTATTTCGGTAACGGACGTGTCTCACCCCTTTCTGTTGAGCCGCATCCTAAAGCGCAGGCGGCCCCCCCTCCCTCCCTTCACGAGGCGCTTGGACTGTCTTCCGTTTTGTTGGTGGAGTGGATGTTCTGGTGCAGGTTTTGTTCCCAGCCCCTTCCTCAGGCCCACCCTCCCCTCTGCTTCCTCCTAGTTGCCTTCTTAGACTTGGACCACGCAAGTCTCCTTCTAGAGTCTTCTCAGTCCTCCCCTCTGCAGGCAGTTCCCAAAACTACTCCAAAGTGGGGTGACTGGAGGAACCTCCCTACCATAGGGGGTTGGGGGAACCTCAAACATTCATGACGAGCACAAGTAATACTAGGGTTTGAGCCATAGTACAGAGCAGGAGCAGATACAGACGCCCGAGAGCCTGGGGATTGATCATCCCCGCGGAGGCAGTGGGAGTCTCAAGATATCTCAGCCAAGGAAGGCCGCAGCACCTCCTAGAGCGCTTGTCCCTCGTAGATGTCATGCCCACCTGTCCCTTCTCTCCCCTCAGGACTCACCACCCCACCCCCCAGGATCAGAATCCTAAACCACAGCAGACCCAAACACAGATCACTTATTAACCCACCAACCCTGTCCTTGTCTCTGTCCAGGACAGTTTGCGCCCTCTCTCTCTCTCTTCTCTCTTCTCTCTTCTCTCTTCTCCTCTCTTCTCTCTCTCTCTCTCTCCTCTCTCTCTCTCTCTCTCTCTCTCTCTCTCTCTCTCTCTCATTCTCTCTCAATTGGACTTTACTGAGAGGTCACAAACTCACAAACTTCATAGGGACCTGCTTCCCTATCGTTAATTGATCTCTGGACTACAGATTGAGGCCTCCTGGGTGGGAGGTGAGAGGGCAGGATCCGACTTGAGAATGGACAGAGACCTAAGGACATTTCGAGGATCTCTGCCACAGGAAGGGTTGCTGTGGCAACAGCGAGACAAGACTCCAAGACAGAGCATGAGGCCTTCTCCCAAGTCAGCCTTTCTGCAAGTGCTGCTCTTCCTACTGGAGGCAGGGACCTGAATGAGGGTCACTGGATGGCCATGGGGGTGGGGGAAGGTTCTGGAGGGTCATCCACAGCTTTTTCCTAAGAAAACACCCTTCCTTCCCCCTCCCTCTCTCCCAGTGTCCTGGAGGCAAGGTATCCTGCCCAGAAGACAGCAGACTGCATCTCTGTGGCGTTGCTCAGAGAAAGGGCAAGAAGGAAGCCACAGGACCGATGGCCTATAAGTTACTGTCCTTCCACAGTGACCTCAAGGGTCAGTGTGTGAGGACAGCCCTGGCTCGTGGTATTCCTCAGACTTGGGGAGCGAAGCATTTGTTCTTTGGCTTGTACCCTTTATAGTATTGGCCTCATTGCCTGGAAGCTTAAGAGGCTGACCCTGGCCCAACAGCTAACTCCTCAGTCCTGTCCACACAATGCTATGAATAAGGCCTTGTGTGTGTTAGTGTCTTTATCACCTGAGGTCTGTCCCCACACCCCAGGTGAGGCAGGTGGCAATGACCTTTGCATGAACTGGGAGAAAGGAATGGTGGCCAGTCCTCACTCTGTCATCCAGCTAGTGGACTTGGGTGACCAGGAGTCTTTCACACTAGCCACAGGGCATCAATGGAGTGTACTGGTAAACTCAGTCTGGCTTCAAGGGCAGATGTCCCCAGACCACCTCAGTGATGACCAAGGAGGAAAGCCGACCCTGATCTCTTGACGTTCCCCAAATAAGCTCCTTCCAGATGCAGGGGGGCCCTCAAACAGGATCCAAAACCCAATCAGCCTTGACTCCCAGACAGTGTGGGTCCCATGTGATCAATTCTGTTAAAAATTTTTATAAAAATGATGCTACCATGGCAACCCTTGCATTCCACCCTGAGTTTGCCAAGACACAGAAAAATAAGGGACACGTTCTTCAAATTCACTCCAGCCCTGCCCAGCTGCTTCCTGAAGCCTCAAGTTCATGAGCTGCGGCAGAAGCGGCTCCCTTCAAAGTCACGTGCAGTGTGTGCCCACCTCGTCCTCTCCTGAGTGTCTCCCCAGTTCCTCAGGTGAGCAAGTACCTCCTCACTAGCCGCCATCCCCCCTTCCAGACCTCAGAGCCCCTTCATCTACAGTGAAAAGGCAAGAAACATCATCCGGAAGGCAAAATAATTTGAGAATCCCCTCTGAAAAGCATTGGTTTGCCCGTCTAGAAGCTTCTCAGCAAGTCAGAGATGGCCAGAAGGGAGCCAAGCTCTGTGTGTGGCCCTGGGCAGTCCCTGGGGCTTTGGAAGGACCTAGGGGTTCACCTGGAAGGACAGCGTGTGTGCCAACAGTCCTTCCTTGATGGTCACACGGTCATGCACTGATCTGACGATGCCACAGACAGCCCTGTGGTTGTTGAAGAAATAAAACCAAACCAGTGAAAACGGAGTGAATGGTTTGGACAATGGTATCCCACCCCACTCCCCTGCCCACAGAATCCTAAAAGCAATATATCTAAGAACTGGAGGGAGACAAATGCACCTTTTATTCCAAATGCCTCCTGCTAGGTTTACCCAGACTCAGGTCATAAACCAAGAGAGTTGTGTACCTTGCTCTTACCCTGAAGCTAGCAGCCCAGGAAGGTACGAGAGCCTTGCCAGAGGCAGGTCAGCCTGGCCTGCCCACAGGCAGCTGCAAGCCATGAACACGTTTCCCCTGGGCCCTTGATCTCCACATGTCAAGACTACTGAATGCCACCCCTCCCACTAGGTCTCCAGCCAGTGAGCCATGTGGTCAGCCCATGGCGGACGTCACCTATTGCAAGGACCGTCAGCCTCCCGTCGCGGTTGCACTGTTCACGGAGATGTATGGTGACCTGGAGCCCCGCTCTGAGGCCGTGGTGGTGCACGAAGGCCTGAGAACAAGCTCTTCAGTTTTGGTTATGACACCAGAAGACGTAGAACTGCTTTCTCAGGAGAGCTTGGACCTGAAATGAGCTCAGAGCAGAACTTCCGTCTTGGCCTCTCCTTCAGTCATGGAGACGGGAGACCCTCCCCTGAAGGTCATACCGTGGCCGTTCCCCACCAGCTCCCCAGAATGGGAAGACTTATCAGCAAGGAGCTACTCAACAGCTTGGGGTTCTGCTTTGGACTTATAACAGTGACAGCCATACGGGAGGACTGGGGACCGCTTCGGAGACTTGTCACGGACAGTGTGAGGTTTGGAGGAATAAGGTCAAGTCCTAAAAGCAGCTGAGAATGTCCTGTGCCCATTGCTGAGACGTGGCCATTGCAGGCGCTGTGGTGCCCACTTCCTCTGGATTTGGGACTCCCTTCATTTCTTCTCAAGGGGGCAGGTTAGTCATACTCAGAAAGTACTCCAGCGTGGTTCAGCCGGTTTGCAGTACGGCGGCAGAGCAACCAGGCTCTGAGACGGGAAAGGTGTCCCCTTGCCCTCACCCCCACCCTGCCTGGTAGCTTGCCCGTTGAGTTGTCCCCTAGGTACAGCCCCCATCCACCTCTTTGTCTTGAGCACTGTGGGTGGGCTTGTCACAACAACACAACTGCCGTGTTGTTAGGTGTGAATGTCCAAGCCAGCAGGACACAGCAGGGCTGGGGTGTCCAGTGGAGTAGAGAACAGACTAGGAGGGAACACCAGGGACTTCGGAGTGCCACACAGCACTGCTCCAGCCCTGGCCCTCCATGGACCCCCACATGCCTGTCCTACCTGGAGATC